CATCAGGACACCGTGCACAGGAGGGGACACTGGTTTTCCCATGCCCATTGGGAACTGGCTGTTTCTGTTTTCTGAAGTAAAAAGGTTCCTGTGGGTCGGGTAAGGTCTCTGCTTGGCAGGAAGTTCTGAAACAGAGCCACTGACCACACCCACCTCCTGTGGGCATGGAGCAGCTCCGGCCCTCAGAGCTCATCTCTCCGGCAGAACTGAAGGGAAGACCGTGTGTACCCTTCTGTCCCTCACCCTTCACATGCCCAGAACCATCAGTGTCGCACTTCCTAATTCCTATCACTGTATTCCATTAGTTTCGTACTGTTTTACTAATCGTGAATCTAAACAGATTGGTTCAAAAGTAGATCGTTCTATTTTTAAAGTATTTAGTGATGTACGTGTGAGCTTTGCATGGACGAACTACGCACACGACCCTTTCTTGTACATTCAGAACCTGCACACACATGTAAAAACAGGACCCGTTTTTGACAGCTGTGAAACCACCGTTTATTTGTAATAAATAATTACACAATCTAAAAAAAAAAAAAAAGAAAAGAAAATATTGATGATTTCAATAAAGGGCCTTGCACATGCCAAGTCTTAAATTGTTCCTCAAGGTTCAGGCCCCAGTTATAGTGTCACAATTCTGCCAGAAAGACTTCTTTTGAGTGTGATCCAATGATTTCAATGTACGTTTCTATGTGTCCTAAAAATCAGTATGAAGTAACCCTCAGGCTCATGAGTAGAGGACTTTTGTAGAGTACTAAGTTGTCTTGCCTTGTTCATGACTGAGCTCTAACTCTAATGTCCTATCTCCATGAAATGAGAGAGGTAAAAGGTCAAACTGAGTTACTAATAAATATTATAAAAACAACTGATCATTCATACTCCTCCATAAGAATATTTTCATTCATTCAGGTATATCTAACTACTTGTAATATTCTGGAGTGCTTCAGGACAATATGGCCAAATACATTTTGTTCCAACTTGAATTTCCATTCACCGCTTGGCCTTTCCTGTTTGGTGATGAGAATAGAAAGGCTACCAGGCCTTTATTGTATTCATAGTCATTGAAATTTTATGTAGATATGACAGTATGTTTCATGGACTGCTGGTGGTGATAATAGAGATGACTTTTCTCATAAAATAGAAGTATTTTAATTTATTAATATAGAAGTTGTTCGAAGTGCTCTTTACCCTGACGTTTCAGAGCAATGAAGACTTGAAGTGATCACAGTAAAATCATATCAATAAACTCTATGTGTTCTTGAGGAAATGAGTGTAGCAAATTAACAATAGTCAATAGTCTTACAATAAAATCATACACTGAATGTTGGGGACCACGTGGCCTATGTGAACTTCTTGTATATAAATCCCCAGTGCTGAATGTCTCACACATTCTCCTATATGCATATGTGGGATGTTTTAGGACTCAGTGGCCTTTAAGGATGTTAATGTGGAGTTCACCATGGAGGAGTGGGCTTTCCTGGATCTGACCCAGAAGAAACTCTACACAGATGTGATGCTGGAAACCTTCTGGAAGTTGGCATCAGTAGGTAGTTATGACAAATTCTTGTTTTTAAAATACCTTTTAAATTATTTTAGAGAGGAAGGAGTTGGGAGAGAACGAGAGAAAAATCAATGATGAGAGAGAATCACTGATTGGGTACCTCCTGCGCGCCTCACACTCGGGATCTAGCCTGCAAACCGGTCCTACTGGGAATTGACCTGTGACCTCCTGGTTCATAGGTTGAGAGTCAACCACAGTGTGACTCTGGCTGGCAACAACTTGTTACTTACTTAGTCAATTAGAAAACTAGTGTTGCTTGCTCATTAATGCTGTTTCAGAAACTGAAATATGGAAAGGGAATACATTGGTAATTAAACTAGGAATGATCACAGCTCATTGTGTACTTAAAACCTAACCATTTTTTATATTCTTTAATAGTTTATAATGCTTTTTCCAGCATGTATTTTAGAAGAAAAATGTGAAGACCATCACAGTGAAGATCAGTATGAAAATCATGGGATGAATCTTAGGTGAGTCACATTGACATGAGAAAGCATTAAGAGCATCTGTTTTTTTCCCCAAAATTTATTTTTATATATTTATAGAGGCCTGATGCATGAAATTTGTGCATGAGTTGGGGTGGGGGTGGGGGGGAGCCCCTCCCCTCTACCTGAACTCTCCTGCAATCTGGATCCCTTGCCCCTAACCACCCGCCTGCTCACTCCTTACCACTTGCCTCACTGCTCCTTAGCGCTGCCACAGAAGCGGGAGAGGCCCTAGCCACAGCCACTGTGCTCATAAGTCATGAACCTGGCTTCAGCCTGAGCAGTACTCCTGCTGTGGGAGCGCACTTACCACCTGGGGGCAGCTCCTGCGTTGAGCGTCTGCCCCCTGGTGGTCACTGCATATCATAGCGAGTGGTTGAGTGGCCTTAGTATATCATTAGCATATTATGCTTTGACTGGTTGAATGGCAGACCGGACGACTGGACACTTACCATATTAGGCTTTTATTACATAGGGCTTTTTTTTTTCTTCAGAGAGCTATGGATAGGGAAAAAGAGAGCGAAATATCGATGATGAGAAAGATTATTGATGGCTCCTCCTGCATGCCCCACACTTGGAATCCAGTCCAGAACCTGGGCATATGCTCTGAACAGGAATTGAACTGTGACCTCCTAGTTCAGAGGTCAGCTCTCAATCAATGAGCCTCTCCGTTGGTGCGGAAATATGTTTTTATTGATTTTGGTGTGTGGAGGTGAGAGGGAGAAATAGAAAAATTGATTGGCTGCCTCCTGCATGCCTATACTGGGGTTAATAAGTCTGAAGTCTTGCCATGTTGCCTTTTGGGGAATTGAACCAGCAACCCCCTGGTGCATGGGTCCATGCTGACCCATTGAGCCATATGGGCCCGGTCCGAAACAGAATCTTAAAAACAGGTAATCCAATTATATCGGCTCTGTTTTAAATTTGTTGGTTCTTTGAATAATCTCATCAAATGTTTTTTTTAAATATGAGCTATATGATTAGTGTATAAAAAATATCTACACTTGAAAACAATATACAGAAGTACCATTAATGACTGTAAGTATTTTCGTAATATCTATGATCCAGTCTATTTCAGAGGTTTTAGGATATACACTTTCAAAAATTGGAATGTACAGAAACTCCACCCTTTCTCTGAAAATGGTAAAAATGTCATTGTCATGCTATTAATCAATATTAAATGGTTAACAGAGTATTAATAATATGCTTCTGATTTATACAGCAGTCATATGGTAGAGAGACTCTGTACAAGGAAGGATGGTAGTCAATGCAGAGAAAACTTCAGCCAGATTCCAAATCATAATGAAAAGAAGGAAACTCCTACTGAAATAAAACAACCTAAATCCAAGTTGTGTAGGCAAATCTTCATGCATTATTTATCCTTGAATAGCCACTTGAGTTCTCACATTGGACCCAAACTATACCTGTGTCAAGAATATGAAGAAAGCCCTTATAAATGTAAGGAACCTGAGAAAGCTTTCAAGCATCATCAACATATTCAAAGCCATGAAGGCAGCCCCAGTGGGAAAGCTTTCCACTATTCAGCTTCCCTTAGAATTCATGAAAGAGCGCATATTGCTGGGAAATGGTATGAGTGTAAGCAATGTGGGAAAGTCTTTAGTCGTCTCAGTTACTTTAAACTTCACAAAAACACTCATAGTGGAGAGAAACCATATCAAAGTAAGCAACGTGACAAAGCTTTCCATTCTCCCAAGTACTCTGGAGAAAATGAAAGAACACACACTGCAGAAAAACCCTATCAATATCAGAAATCTGGTAAAGCTTCCAGTTCCACTTCTCTTAGAAATCCTGAAAGAACACATACTGGCGAGAAACATGAATGTAAGCAATGTGGGAAAGTCTTCAGTTGGCTCAGTTCTCTTAGAAAACATAAAAGAAGTCATGCCGAAAAGAAGCCTCATGAATGTAAGGAATGTGGTAAAACATTTCTTCGTCGCTACTCTCTTAGAGATCATGAAAGGACCCATAGTGGGGAAAAACCTTATGAATGTAAGCAGTGTGGCAAAGGTTTCTATTCTCTAGTTGCCCTCCAACGTCATGAAATAACTCATACCGGGGTAAAATGCTATGACTGTAAGCATTGTGGTAAAGGTTTCTATTATCAATCTTCTCTCCGAGATCATGAAAGAACTCATACTGGGGAAAAACCCTATGAATGTAAGGTATGTGGTAAAGTTTTCTCTTATTCAACTTCCCTCCAATATCATAAAAGAACTCATACTGGGGAAAAACCCTATGAATGTAAGCAATGTGGAAAAGCCTTCAGTTCCAGCAGCTCTCTTGCAATTCATAAAATAAGCCATGAAGAAAAGAAGCCTCATGAATGTAAGGAATGTGGTAAAACATTCCATCATCACTATTCCCTTAGAAATCATGAAAATACTCATACTGGGACGAAACCCTATGAATGTAAGCAATGTGGGAAAGTCTTCAGTTGGCTCAGCTCTCTGGGAAAACATAAAAGAAGTCATGCCGGAAAGAAGCCTCATGAATGTAAGGAATGTGGTAAAACATTCCCTGATCAATATCACCTCCGACTTCATGAAAGTATTCATACTGGGGAAAAACCTTATGAATGTAGTCATTGTGGTAAAGCTTTCTCTTATCCAACTTCCCTTCAACGTCATGAAAGAACTCATAATAAGGAAAAACCCTATCAATGTAAGTAATGGAAGAAAGCCTTTATTCATCCCAGTTCCCTTCAAATTCACAAAAACTTTCATTGTGGAGAGAAATCATAATGAATGAAAGAACTAACACTGAAAAGAAGCCCTACTGTGTAAAGATAGTACAAAAGCTTTGACCATCCTAATTCTTTTAAAAAAAAAATATTTTATTGATTTTTTACAGAGAGGAAGGGAGATGGATAAAAAGTTAGAAACATCGATTAGCCCCAACTGGTTTGGCTTAGTGGATAGAGCGTTGGCCTGTTGACTCAGGGGTCCCGGGTTCGATTCCGGTCAAGGGCATGTACCTTGGTTGTGGGCACATACCCAGTGCGGAGTGTGCAGGAGGCGGCTGATCGATGTTTCTCTCTCATCGATGTTTCTCTCTATCCCTCTCCCTTCCTCTCTGTAAAAAATCAATTATATATGTATATATATATATATATTTTTTTTTTTTTTAAAGAAACATTGATTAGCTGCCTCCTGCACACCCCGCACTGGGGATGTGCCCGCAACCAAGGTACGTGCCCTTGACTGGAATTGAACCTGGGACCCTTCAGTCCACAGGCCGATGCTCTATCCACTGAGCCAAACTGGTCAGGGCTAATTCTTTTTTTTCTTTTTTTTTTAGCCTCACCTGAGGATATTTTTCCATTGAGAGAGTGGAAGTCAGAGAGAAAGACAACATTATTGATGTTTACCTCCCTCACGCTCCCAGACATGAAAACACACACAGTGGAGAATAGCTTTAAGAATGTAAGGAATTTGGTAAAACTTTCAGTTTCTACAAGTCTCTTAGAAAGCATGGAAGAACACATACTAGGGAAAAACCTTACGAATGTAAGCAATGTGGGAAAATCTTCTGTTGTGTCACACATCTTGGTAGACATAAAAGAAGTCATGATGAAAAAAAGCCTCATGAATAAGGAATGAGATAAACCTTTTGCCATCTCTTTTCTCTAAGATGTCATGAAATGTATACTGGGAAGAAACCCTATGAATGCAAGCAATGTGGGATAGCCTATAGTCATCCCAGATCCTTTCAAATTAACAAAAATTCTCATAATGGAGAAAAACCATATTAATTTAAGGAATGTGGTAAACCCTTCAGCTTCCCAACTAGTTTTTACAGACATGTGGAAGCAAAATCTATTGATAAACACTGTTAATGTAAAGAATAACAAAGAGCCCTGACCAGTTTGGCTGCAGACTGAAGGGTCCCAGGTTCGATTCCGGTCAAGGGCATGTACCTTGGCTGCGGGCACATCCCCAGTAGGGCGTGTGCAGGAGGCAGCTGATCGATGTTTCTCGCTCATTGATGTTTCTAACTCTCTATCCCTCTCCCTTCCTCTCTGTAAAAAATCAATAAAATATTTTTTTTAAAAAAGAATAACAAAGAGCCTTCATTTATCTCTCAGCTGTGCTATCATGCATGATTATCCATATTGGGGATGGACCCCTAGAAATGTAAGAGGTTTAGAAAGCATTCATTTCTTCCAGTTCATTGTAAAGGATGACAGAACTCACTGAAGAGAAGCCCTGTCATGTGAACATGGTAGAAGAGCCTTTGGCCATCCTAGTTCTTTACAAAATCATGGAGGGACTCACACCCAAGAATAACTGTATGAACATAGGAATTTGGGAGAGCCTCTCTTGGACATGTGAGAATGCACCTGGAGAAATAGTGTATACATAGAGTGAAGGTGGTAAAGCCTTCAGCTGTCTCTTTTCCTTGGAAAGATCATGAAAAAAACTCAAAGTGGAGAGTTGTATTGAATGTAAAAATGTAGGAAAACCTTCATGTGGCCTCATATCCCTACAATACCATGTGAGAATGTATACTGTATGATTGACAACAACAAAAAACTTTAAAGTTTTCACAAATACTTTCAGAGTAGCTAGAAAACTGCACTAGTAGGAAATTCTGTTAGTGTATCTAACTGGTACATGTAAGCTTGTTGAAAATTAAGTCATATACTCCCCAAAACTCACAGCATTAAAGAAGTTCTATAAACTTTTGACATATTTGGTCATTATCAGTACTCATTCTTATTTTTGTTAGTTTCTTTAAATTGATGCTTTAGAGTGAGGAAGGCAGAGAGAAGTAGAGGGAAACATCGATGTGTTGTCTTGCCATGTGCCCTGACAGGAATTGAATGAATCGGCCCTACACACATATATATTCTTTTTTAATTTTTCAATAGCACTTGAAATTCACTATTTTAGTCAAGAAGTATTGCCATATATTCATGCATATTTACTGTTCACTGTAGAGTACCCCTGTGTATTCTTTTCGTGTGTGTGTGTGTGTGTGTGTGTGTGTGTGTGTGTGTGTGGCTTTTCGCTGGGAATTGTGCTATGGAGTTCACATTAAGAAGAGAATATTTCAGTTTGTTTTTCTCAATCTTTACCCTGCCAGCCAACACTTTCCTCAAAACAGCCAGCCACTGCTTCATTTCCCTTGATGTCAGTTGTAAGTAAGCTTACAGTTGTTCAGAATTCAACATTAAAGACCCAGCATAGGTTGGCTTTTCCTGCAAGCCCATAGATGTCCAACAGGTAAACGTAGACTGTCATGGTTGAGGCCGTTTTCTGAAAGGTATGCACTGTTCTCTAGATTGCATTTGCATGAGATCTAATTTGACTAGTAATCATCTTGTCCTGTTGGTTCTACTACTGACTGTGATTCAGATCCCACTGTGACAGCTGCAGTGGTGCAGTGCCTAGGAGCCACGTGACAGTTTGTGATTGCAGTAAGGGCTGAGCCATGTGAGAATCGGCACTTCCCTCATTTCAGGCCGACTCTGATGTGTGCTGTCACTCAGAGCTGAGCCTAATCTCTCAATGTTTTCAGTTATCTTTGGTTGTATATGATTAAAGTTATGTGCCTTTTTTCCTAATAAATGCATCTGTAATTTTTTAAAAAAATGTTTTTATTGATTTCAGAGAGCAAGGGATAGGGAGAGAGAGATGGAAACATCAATGTTGAGAATCATTGATCAGCTTCCTCCTGCACACCCTCTACTGGGGATCAAGCCTGGAACCCAGGCATGTACCCTTGACCAGAATCAACCCCCGATCCTTCAGTTTGCAGGCTCTTGCTCTATCCACTGAGCAAAACCATCTAGGGCAGTGCTTCAGTAATTTTTAATGAAATATTAACTGTTTCCCAACCACTCTTATGCTAAGAAATGTTATGGTGTTTTGTTATTTCCCGAGGATGTAAATAATTATCCCATAGTAATTATGTATTTTCAGATCAATTTGTAATTTTTTCCATTTAATCATTATACATTCTGAGTCAGAAGTATCATGTATGTACATATTCAGACATGGTTTCCTCAGGGAAATTATATTATTCTTATCTGCATACTTATAATATCTGGCACAGATTAGTTTCTTATTTGTTCAAAGTATTAAAAACTTCAGTCATGTATTTTTTAGTCCCCTCTAGCCAAAGACCAACACAATCACATCTGTAGTAAAAGTGAAATGAGGTGGAATGAATTGAAATAATAAGCATGACCAGAAACCATAAATGCCTGGGTTGTAACAGTAACAGTAGCCTTCAAAGAATTTTTTGTTATATTTTGCCTTGTGATAGACAATTTGATTTCCATTAAGGAAGCAATACATTTTTCTGCATTGAATTCTGGGAGGAAATGAACTTCATTCTATTTTGCATAATGAAAATCATTTTTCTTTAGAAGGCAGAAAAATTAATGCTAAACCAAAAGTGTAAGAAGCACAAATCGTATTAGTGAGAAAAGCAATATTGGTTATTTTTATTTCTTTGAAACCTGTTCTCCTTGATCACATGTGCAGACATGAATGCCTTTGCTTTTGTCTTGATTCATTGTGGTCATGGAGTAGCTCTGTGTGATGATGGATGTTTGACATTTTCTTTTCCACAGGGAGTATGAGGCCAGGAACCAGTTGTCGAACAGCGTTTGCCTTTCTTGTTATCTAAATACCGAAATATTTACTTTGCTGTATTGGGCACATTTCCAAAAAGTACCTCAGTTAAGTATCTATATTACATATATCTTAATATAAAAGTACGTACTTCCTAACAAGATATGTAACTGGTTAACTCCTTTATCGGTCAACTGAAGTTTATAAATTTAGGAATATCATCAAAGAACACAAACCTAGCAAGAAAACAAAGTTAGGATCTCTCTTCCCAGAAGCTGTTCTTGCTGACAGAATTTGACTTTTTCCCTCACCTTTTAAAAAAAGTTGATTTGAGAGCCAGAAAGGGAAACATCAATCTGTTGTTCCAGTTATTTATGCTTATGCAATCATTGGTTGATTCCTGTGTGTGACCTGTGAATGAACCCACAAGCTTGGCACATTGGGACAACGCTCTAATCAACTGAGTTGCCTGGCCAAGGAGAAAGTATGATCATGATGATAATGTCAACATCCTGCACATGCCAGGCAATTTACATGGAAAACATGCCTAATTTAGCACACCTGTCCAAGTCATGATATACAGGCAAGAAAGAAAAAATGTCTTGCATTGCTGGTGCTTAAGTTTTTGTAGGAAAGGAGATACTGGTTAAATAAAAATGCTTTGGTTTCTTAGAAAATGAAGTTGTTGCCAGGTGAGTGTGGCTTGGTAGTTGAGCATCAGCCCATCCATGAACCAGGAGGTCATGGTTTGATTGATGGTCAGGGCACATGCCCAGGTTGGGGGCTCGATCCCCAGTGAGGTGTGTGCTGGAGGAAGCTGATGTATGTTCATTCTCATTGATGTTTCTATCTCACTCTGCCTCTCTAAAAACAAAAAATATATATTTTAAAAAGAAAAGGAAAAAAGTTGAAAGTAAGCCCAAACACTGACGGGAGATAATTGGGAACGGGGGTGGATTATACATCTTCATTTTGGAGGGTAGGGGCCTCAGTAAATGGGGTGTCATCATCATCTTTCCTCCCATGTAATACTTCTTAAAGACTTGTGGATCTGCTAGAGTGTGGATTTAAACAATGGGCAAACATCCCCAAAGTTCTGCCTTCCTGGGTTTCACAGCAATGGTTTTCCAGAAAGCTCTAGACATGGTTGTAAGTTTCAGAGCATGTGCTACTTTATTAAGAATATGGACATGGGTGTGTGACATGAAGAACTTCTCACTGCGTTAGGCCATGGTGTTTCTATTTAAAACCAATGGAAATAATTTGAAATTCATTTTTGAAATGGCATGTTATTTTCCTGCTATTCAAACACAGTGACACAATTTGTGTACCTTTTGAAACGTTTGAGTTCCTCCCAGTTGACGAATGTTCTAGTCATCTGCACAGTTGTACCCATATGGGTTTTCTGTAAGTAGAGTGATTCCTGTGCAAGTCCAAGGTGGTTTTCTGGTTAAAACACCAGGAAGCCATTGATGTTTAGAGGACAGTGATCTAAGGAAAAATTGAGAGTATCAGCAAAGCAGGTAGATTTGATATCGTGGAAGTGGGACATTTTCTTTGCCTCTGATAAGAGGAGTAGCTGAAAGTTTTTTCAGCAGAAGGCACCAAGCCGTCCATGTTCATTTTTGCTGTTTCCAGGGGTCATTTCCATGTTTACACTTCCAGGAGATGTTATGAAACATGGGGGAAAAGGTGTTGCTTTTATTTCTTTGAAGAGCAAAGGACGTCCAGACTTGGTCCCTCTTCTTTCTTTCGGTGCTAGTTTATGTTTTCTTAGCGGTGTAGATATTTTATGATTTTATGATCATTGGTATCTCCTATGACCCCCGCCCCCATCATTCCTCCCACCATGCAAATGAAGAAAGGCAAGCAGAAATCTTGTCCCAATTTACATAGCTCATAATAGTAGAATCTCCATTTTGAAGTCCTAATGTGTGCTGTATTGTCCAAAGTCAAAAACTTTCACTCAGAAGAACACTGTTAGACTTGTATAATTCTGTACCCTTGCAAATGCAGTGTCAAAGTTTATAAACAGGACTTAAAAGACAACATGGTGACCCACTGCATGACATTCCGGAAAAGCTCCAGGGTTGGAGGAACCTGTAACAAATCC